GTATATGTCACCCACCTTGCTGGAACACGTTCCTATGATCCTCTACATGACCTACAATAGTAGATGTCACCCACCTTGCTGGAACACTTGCCTATGATCCTCTACATGACCTACAATAGTAGATGTCACCCACCTTGCTGGAACACTCGCCTATGATCCTCTACATGACCTACAATAGTATATGTCACCCACCTTGCTGGAACACTCGCCTATGATCCTCTACATGACCTACAATAGTATATGTCACCCACCTTGCTGGAACACGTTCCTATGATCCTCTACATGACCTACAATAGTATATGTCACCCACCTTGCTGGAACACTTGCCTATGATCCTCTACATGACCTACAATAGTATATGTCACCCACCTTGCTGGAACACGTTCCTATGATCCTCTACATGACCTACAAAAGTAGATGTCACCTACTTGCTGGAACACTCGCCTTTGATCCTCTACATGACCTACAATAGTAGATGTCACCCACCTTGCTGGAACACTTGCCTATGATCCTCTACATGACCTACAATAGTAGATGTCACCTACTTGCTGGAACACTCGCCTATGATCCTCTACATGACCTACAATAGTAGATGTCACCCACCTTGCTGGAACACTTGCCTATGATCCTCTACATGACCTACAATAGTAGATGTCACCCACCTTGCTGGAACACTTGCCTATGATCCTCTACATGACCTACAATAGTAGATGTCACCCACCTTGCTGGAACACTTGCCTATGATCCTCTACATGACCTACAATAGTAGATGTCACCCACCTTGCTGGAACACTCGCCTATGATCCTCTACATGACCTACAATAGTATATGTCACCCACCTTGCTGGAACACTCGCCTATGATCCTCTACATGACCTACAATAGTATATGTCACCCACCTTGCTGGAACACTTGCCTATGATCCTCTACATGACCTACAATAGTAGATGTCACCCACCTTGCTGGAACACGTTCCTATGATCCTCTACATGACCTACAATAGTAGATGTCACCCACCTTGCTGGAACACGTTCCTATGATCCTCTACATGACCTACAATAGTAGATGTCACCCACCTTGCTGGAACACTTGCCTATGATCCTCTACATGACCTACAATAGTAGATGTCACCTACTTGCTGGAACACGTTCCTATGATCCTCTACATGACCTACAATAGTAGATGTCACCCACCTTGCTGGAACACGTTCCTATGATCCTCTACATGACCTACAATAGTAGATGTCACCCACCTTGCTGGAACACTTGCCTATGATCCTCTACATGACCTACAATAGTAGATGTCACCTACTTGCTGGAACACGTTCCTATGATCCTCTACATGACCTACAATAGTAGATGTCACCCACCTTGCTGGAACACGTTCCTATGATCCTCTACATGACCTACAATAGTAGATGTCACCCACCTTGCTGGAACACTTGCCTATGATCCTCTACATGACCTACAATAGTATATGTCACCCACCTTGCTGGAACACTTGCCTATGACCCACCTTGCTGGAAGACGTTCCTATGATCCTCTACATGGTCTACAATAGTAGATTTCACCCACCTTGCTGGAAAGCCTGGCTGTTCTCCTCCACCCTGGAGACGTAGACACACAGCTCATCTTCGCGCTCGGCGTTCTCTACCAGCTCAGCCTCCACAGAGAAGCCGAAGAGTTGGTCGAGCGAGGAACGCGACAGCTCCACCTGATAGAGAACCTTGGAGCAGATCTCGATGGTGTCGTCGTACATTTGCTGCCATTCCAACACCCCACAAATTCTATAACGAAAGTACTATGTAAGAATTCAATGGTTTGTAGACAGAGAAAACCAAAGTCTTTCTTTGAACTAAAGAGACAAGGGTCGCTTCTCCCGTCAAAATAGACGTTTAAAACCAGACACCATATATTGACCGTCGCCTCAAACTAGCGGCCTCAGGTCGGTGACAAAGCCACAACACCAGCTTTAGCAAACTGAAAAGCGTCCACCTAGAGACCATGGTTTCGCCGCTAGTTTGCGACGACGGTCAATAGATGGCGTCTAGTTTTAGACGTCTATTTTGACGGAAGAGGCGACCCTTGTCTCTTTAGATCAATATCCCTCCCGGCAAAATTTCCATCTATCTATCTTTGAAGTCAATCAATTACAAAATGTTCAAATAAAATAATTAATTAGACAGAGAACAAAATCGGGACAACAGATAATCCTAGCTGCTTCTGTGAAAAAGAAAACCAAACCTCAATACATTTATTGATAGAATGTCCATTCTTTCACAGCTACAGAAATAAACATTTTTATCCCATCGAAGAAATGTGCGAATTTGTATATAACAAAGACACCTATTATGATGCATTAGCGCGCCATCTGTTATCAAAATTCGAAACTATTATAGACGTGTATGAATCTTTTTAAAAATAAAAAAAAATTATACTGTTCTTACTGCAATGTAAAAATTAGAAATAAAAAAGTAGAAATTGTTTATTTTTAAAAAGAATCATACGCGTCTATAATAGTTTCTAATTTTGATAAAAGACACCTATATAAAATTCAATAAATTTTGTAAATTCATTTTAGATTTTCCTTTCTGTTTGAGAAAACCAACTTTTCAGTTTTAATTTTGTTTTCAGTCTTGTTTATTGAATTGTATATAAAAAGAATTATATATAAGCTGCTAAAATGTATTTAGGTGCAAGTATCCCAAGCTGGGATATCGAGTTCGATATGTCAAATAAAAATAAAAAGGGCCAGACATAACTCTGGTTTTACACGTGGTTAATTACCTAAGAATTGAAATATTGCTACAAAGAATACCCTATCGAAGTTGTGCTGTTGTAAGGGACTAGTTCAGAAAGATTTCTTTAAACGGGTTTAGACAATACAAAATATCCGATATCTCTGAGTATATTGTAACATAGTATTTATTAATTTTATTATTTTTATTAACAGAGTGGTCATTTTTATGCTTATATTTTGCTACTCTGTAAATTTCCCTCGTGGCTTATCTTTTGTTTACCGTTCATAGTTTTGTCCTTCCCTGAAATAAATTGTTGTCTCCTCCTGAAGTTTTTGTCTTCCCTAATTTTACACGTGGCATTTTGGTGGAGATCCTGGGTAAGTTAGGGAAGACAAACTGAAGACCGCCGAGAAGACCTTGAAGCCATGGGTGCTGTGATCTACATTTTCGGATAGTGACTCCAGGATTCCACCGCCGTGCTAAAGCCAAGACTTCCCTCGAAGATGACGATGTCCCTATAGACGATACAACGACAAAGCCGCTCTTCACGCCGCAAGAAAATGGACGCAAAGTACTAGGGACAAAGTTCCAAGCCTTCGATGGAATCCTTGGCAGAAGCACATCAGATCCATGTCAGTATCTACAATAATTGCTAGCTGTGGGTCACAGCTCTCATAGGGAAGAAGCTATGTAACAATTTATTTATTAATTTTATTATTTTTATTAACAGAGTGGTCATTTTTATGTTTATATTTTGCTATTCTGTAAATTTCCCTCGTGGCTTATCTTTTGTTTACAATTCATAGTTTGTCCTTCCCTGAAATAAATTTTTGTCTCCTCCTGAAGTTTTTGTCTTCCCTAATTTTCCACGTAGATATATTATGTTCTTAATTATCTCAGAAGCATGAATGTCTTAACAAGAATATATATATGTAAATACATATTATTAATGAAATGTGAAACAAGATATTAAAGCATTGTTTGAATACTCCATATATAACCATTTATATCTATTTAATTAGGAAATTATTTCATTGAAAACGTTATATACTTAGTAAAGTCTAGAACAAATGTATAAGTGTCTTTAAAGGTAGTAGCTTTCTTGTAAATCCGTCTGTTTGAAGAGCTAGCGACTGAAAAAACATACCAGGTTCTTCACTAGTTACTTCCTTGGAGGTAGTTCTTAATCTATTCAATATTAGTTGAACATACCAGGTTCTCTACCAGCTCGTTCCTTAGAGGTAGTTCTTAATCTATTAAACATCAGTTGAACATACCAGGTTCTTCACTAGTTCCTATCTTGGAGGTACGTTCTTAATCTATTCAAAATTAGTTGAACATACCAGGTTCTCTACCAGCTCGTTCCTTGGAGGCACGTAGTACTCCTCGATGTCTTTCTTCCGTCGAATGCGGAGGAAGTGGTCGTTAGGGGAGAGCTGGCGCTTGGCACAGGCGCTCCACAGGAGTTCTTCGACCGTCATGCTGTCGTGTACGACCACCGAGGCTTGCTGAGGGACACCACCGTCAGGGTCAGCGAATGTCACTGAGAGTGATGTTCTCACCTGGTTCTCTGGCAGTGCCACCCGCAGCGTGCGGTCGCCCAGAGATGGCGGTGCATCCATGCTACAGCTCGATGAGACACTCAGCGATCGCCTGTCATCACACCTCAAGATGCAACAGCGTTGAAAGCTACTCAGCTACTTGGAAGACAACCTCAGAATACTATGGTTCACTACCAAGCAACTCCTTTACACGCACATCTCATTCAATCACGCCTACATCTCATTCGTTGACAGTTCCCAGTCTCAAGCAAAGAGCATACTGAAGACTAAGCACATACAAAAAATCTATAATTTTTTCTCAAAACATTGTTTCTCTTATTACTTGGCGAATAATATTATTGCGGCTAATACATAATAATACAATTACTTTATACATAATACAAAGACATTATATATAACGGCGTATAATATTGGTATTTCAATTTTTTGCAAGTGTTTACGAACTTTTGGGACAACCTTGTAAAAGGAACCTGCAATTAACATTAACGACGATATTTTTCCACAAAGGATAAACTTTGCTATACAATTGACAAGCACAAGTTGTCTATACATATTTCTGAATAAAATAAAAATATTTTTATTGTCCCTTAGATAGATTTTCCATCAAAGTCAGTATCGCATTGGGTTTCAAGAGCCAATCAGCGATGTAACGACTTCATCTCTAAGACTTTAAAGACTCTACAGCTGTTTTAAACACCTACGGTTATACCACGTTGAAAACAACGCTTCTTGTCCGATCACCGAAGTTAAGCAACTTCAGGTCCAGTCAGTATTTGGGAGGGTGACCACCTGGGGAACACCTAGCGCTATAGGTTCCCTTCTTTTTCTCGGGTTTAGGCATTTATTTCCGTTCTCGAGGCTCAAAAATCATCCGTTTTGGTTAAGCAGCCCCGTAAATAAAGATATTTCTATCTATTCATGATAAAATTGTAAACATTTTTGTAAATATTTCTGGTGGGATAAGTCTATATTTTAGTAAGCCCGTTGAAGAGCGATTATCACTTGAAAGCTAGCGTTTTTTAAATAAAAAGATACATATTGTGAGAAAGTATTTGTAATTTTAAAAAATATTTCTATCTGATAAAGCACAATTTGGATTATAGATTATAATACAAGAGAAAATAAAACCTAATCCAATTAATTTATTAGTGTGTGAATCAGAATCAGAATCATCAGAAAAAAATTGTCTTATTTTCTTGTAATATTTCTAGCTGTTTTAAAATGACAAAGTGTTGTCTTCTATATAGATTGATGCAACAATACAACTCACTGATTCTATGTGGATGTCACATAGATTAAAGAGACCGAATTAAAGGAAAATTTTTAGAAACAACATTCAACATTTACAGATTCGGATTAGTGAAGAAGCTAGAAAAGAATTTAGAAAAATACAATCAAAAGGCCAATCTGTATATCACAGTTTTAAGCTATGACCATCGTGAGTATGCTATGTAGTTACATCTTATAATATCTGGTTCGAACATACCAAAATTCACAATCACGGAGCTCTGGCACATGGAATGATATGAAGAGAAATAAGAAAAAAACAAGTGTTGAATGTTAAGAAAAAAAAACAAGAGGTATCTTATGATCGTGAAACTAGAAGTTACTGATGGCTTGCGAAACCTGTAGAAATAAATATCAACTAATCTTTGATTTTTTAAATTATTATTATTCGGTTCGGTTCAAAATCACATTAATAGGTACCGCTCAACAAGAGCAACTTAGTTCATGATAATTGAAACAATGAATAATATGTGAAGGTTATTCACATATTAAACAATTTTTAATGCGGGGTTCAATCCCGGTTCATGACTGTCGGAAATCGAGCGTGTTACCCTCTCATCCACCGACTATTTATTATTATTCCAGAAGTGTTGAATGTCCTTCGTGCCTACCCATTGGTCATCTTGTTACCAAATCTGTATAATGTTTCCAAAATAACTTTATTAGGTACCGTTCAAAAAAGAGTAACTTAGCTTATGTTATTAACAATAGTTTCTGATTAAAAATAAAAAATGCTCCAATGGCCCTCGATTCTTGTAAAAGTCCAACCCCACCAGCAAGTGCAATTAAACAAACAGGGCACTGGCACATTTGTAAGTGCAAAGTCAAACTGCTTTTCACATGTTTAGACATGTGGTGCACTTACAGTAAAAGCAGTAGCCTTCTACTACCCACCATGATTATCATGGCCTGTACCACGTGTACTATGGATAACCAAAAAAAAAAAAAAAATCTCTGAAAAATATCTCATTATCATATTCTCATAACTTTAGTTAATAAAAAAAGGTATATATTGGATTTAATTAGAGATTTATTTGCCAATATTTCAGTTAGCTGAACGCCAACCTTTATCGAGACATTACATTTTGTATATAAACAAACTAAGCGCCGCATAGTGTTATAATATCACAGTTGAAATAATAATTTAAAAAATACAAAGGAGGTGGGGTAAATTTGTGTATGAAAAATACTAAGGTTATCCAATATATTTTAGCTAACTCCTTCCATTGGATGTTATGAAATCGAAGCCGCCCCTGTACCGATGAATGCCATAGCCCGAAAATATGGTATACAGAGTAGCTGTTATTCGAATTTTCTTAACTTAATATTTTAAAATATATATGAATCTCTCTCAGAGAAGTTGAAAGGAATTCTTTCTTTTGAATCATTTATTGAAAGAAGGCAATGCTTTTTCCACATTAAGATACCTTACTCCTACTCTTTAACAATATACAGTTAAACCTGTCTATAGCGATATAAAACCTTTTTATTGTATTTTTCAAAGGGTTTCACGACTACATAATATTGGTAAAATACTCTTGTATTCAAAATAAGCAAATAATTTCTCTCCCAACAACATTATATAGTATATTGTCAAGTAGCTCTGTAACCACAGCCACAGAAATCTCCATGGGACACCTGTCAATCATCACTGGACTCCGGGACCACAGGTGTGAGAGGTTCTCGGAATCTTATCGGCAAATAAGGAAAACGGGACGGTGGCTGACCATTGGTCGTTATTTCTCCTTAAAATAAATTTCGATTTTTTTTGTTCAAAAGAAACACATGCGGGATATTTTCAAATGTCGTTCTACAATCATAGGCCGCATTATATTGTATAAACATGCTAAGTTTGCTAGTCTAAATAAAAGATAAAATGGTCGAATTCTTTGAAAAGAGTGACAGATTAGTTGTGTACAGGTCGAAAACACCAATGAACCACAGCAATGAACCCCACGGATCTATATCTAGAGACCCTCCTCAATGTAAACATGCCTCTGATAGATGCAAATTGGATTGTCTTTAACACTATCTACATATGTGCTGTCGTACTGAACGTGCGTCTACATTCCTACATTATTATTATTTTAACTTTGGGATAAGTTGTTCTAAGTTAGGATCAGACATGACGTAGCTACGCAATAATATTTGAAATGAAGGCGATAAAAACGTGGTGATTTTCTTTTAATTGTTAAAAAACAAGCTTTCAGGCAAGAATGCCCTTCTTCAGGTTACAACTTGGAAATATATAAAAATATTTAAAAATATTTCCAAGTTGTAACCTGAAGAAGGGCATTCTTGGTTGAAAGCTTGTTTTTTAACAATTAAAAGAAAATCACCACGTTTTTATCGCCTTCATTTCAAATGAGTTGTTCTCCCTATAAATACCTCTTGTAGATAATTTTATTGGAGAACTTAAAGGTAAATACCCACCTTTATAATAAATTAATTATTCCCAAATTTTCCCTTGCTTTATTTATCTCCGCGACAATATTTATCAAATGTTTTATCTAGAGAGCTACAGTAAAATCAGTTCTAGCATTAAACACTAACTTAAAATATCTAAATTTGACTTGCAAAGATAATAAGCGACTACGCATAAAGACTGGACAGCTGATTTAAAATGACAAAGTATTATGTTCCACACAGATTGGTGTGACAATACAACTCACTGATTCTGTGTAGGTGTCACGAAGCATAATAGACCGAATTAAAAGAAACGTTTTCAGGAAAAACATTCAATATGTATGGATTATTGAAGAAGATTACAATACGTTTGTTGTATTCTGCATTCATCTTCTTGAATACATGCTTAGCTTGCTCGTTTATAAAAAGGTCTTCGTCTTCTTTCTTATCTCCACTCAATCATATTAAGGTATCAGGCTTGTAAAGCTTGACAACCATCATGACTGGGTGAAGTAGAATGTGTTTGCCTTTGTCATTAAAGCTGGGATCACTACTCAGTGGCAGGCCGACTTTGCTCCAAAAGAAATGGCCGCCTATAACATGAGGAACAGACGCCATGTGCAGCCGCTCCTAAAATGGAGTAAAAACGCTGCTCATCCTGTATCCCTAGATTAGGAGTCCTTACAGGGTACTATCAACCAGGCCAGCTGAGCCCAGGTTTTTTAGTGAGCTTGTTACCGCTACCTCCTCCTCCTTTTTCATCCGGGCTTGGGACTGGCAAAGGCGGAGTTATAAAAAGGTGAAATAGTCGAATTCGTAACGAAGAGTGACAGTTGTATATAAGTCGAAGACACCAAGGAAGCACAGCAATGAACCCTACGGATCTATATCTAGAGACCCCTCTCAATGTAAACATGCCTCTGATAGATGCAAATTGGATTATCTTTAACATTATCTACATATGGGCCTGTCGTACTGAACGTGCGTCTACATTACTAGAATACTGTTCACGGGGCACGTGCGTCCTCAAATTATATTTTAGCGAGATGACACTTATTCACGTACATTTGCATATATATACATATTTGCATATACATATTTGTTCTGAATATAGAGCAATCCATATTTAAATATTTAGATTATTATCGATTCTCTAATATCTATTATCTAAAGTAGATTATTATCTATTTTGATAGAAGGCATATATTGAATTGAATAAAATATTTATTTGCCAATATTCGGTTGGCGTTCAGCCAACCGAAATATTGGCAAATAAATATTTTATTCAATCCAATTTATGCCTTTTTATTATATATATAATGTAGGCATATCCTGACCAGGAGCACATGTACTTTTTAGATGGCAGAGCGCCATCTGGTGGAGCAGAAATCAACTAAACATTGATTTAGCCTGTTCCCTGATATTTGGTCAACCCATATTTTTGATAAATCAAGAAAAACCATTCACGAACACGTTTCGCGCTGTTGGCGCTCATCAGCGTGGAGAAGGCTGTACCAGAGGCTTGATTTATCAAGAAAATGGGTTGGCCAAATATCAGGGAACAGGTTAAATCAATGTTTATTTTCATTTCTGTTCCACTGGAAGGCGCTCTGCCATATAAAAAGCACATGTGCTCCTGGTCAGGATATGCCTACATTATTTTTATGATCAACACCTGACCCACTTATTTTTTAATTTTTTCTATTGTTTTTTCATAATAGATCCAAAGATGCATAGGGCGTCTCTCCCATCAAATTAAACGCCAAAACTAGTAAAATATGGCGTCTAGTTTTGACGTTTAATTTGACGGGAGAGGTGCCCTATGCTTCTTTTAATATATATATGCCAAAAAAAGACACCTCTCCCTTTAATTGTATATCAGAACGATGCACCAAGAAACAAGAACTGTGTAACGGTTGATACTTATAACGAAATATGGAACGCTTCACGATTTTGCGTGTCATCCTTGCGCAGGGGCCATGCTAATCTTCTCTGTATCGTTCCAATTTTAGTATATGTACCGCCGAACAAGCGTGTACGAAATATTTAACGAAATAGTTCGTTTTGTCTCGTGTTGTCTGCAGAGAGGCCACTACAGGCTCTAGTATCTACCCTGCCGGTC